TGGCCCCATAACGCACCAGGGGATGCAGGCCGGGAGGGGAGGGGGAGTGCTGGTCTCCTTCCCCCGGCCCGCCGCAGCAAATGACTGCGCCCCCGCACTGCTCCTATAAGCGACCCCTTCCCAGGTGTCTCCACTGTCCCCTGCCCCCCACCTTCGCTGCTCGCACGCCCGTGACTGACGCCCACCCCTTCGCCCCTTGTCCCCAGTACGGATTAGTCAATCACGCCCTGGAGCTGCTGGTGATCCGGAATTACGGCCCGGAGGTTTGGGAGGACATCAAGTAAGTGCCGCTGCGAGGGGCCCCGGCTCGCTCACTCTCTCTGTCTGGGAGCCGTCACCCCTTGGGGCAAGATGCCCTCCCACCCCCCGCTGTTCGTCCCGATCCGCCCCTGGCCTGCTCCCATGCGGATCGTGGCTCCCTTCCCCCGTAGGGATCCCCCCGCCCGGGCACTCCGCGGCAGCCGCAGCTGGTTCCCACGCTCCTGTCAGGGCGGGAGGGAGCGGAGGCAGCCGCAGCAGCCCGGGAGACATATGTGGTGACCGCAGATTCGGCTCGGAAGTTTCAGCACCCGGCGTATAAGACGACCCCCGATTTTTGAGAAGATTTTCCTGGGTTAAAAGGTCGTCTTATACGCCGGAAAATACGGTATATAATCCACACACCCACCTTTAGGAAAGAAATGCATCCAATTCTTGGGTGGAGTGTGGGAGATATTTGCTTTGGGAATATTTGTACGATTGTAGCTACACAGCTGCAATGCCCACTGTAGATGTGCTGCACCAGTGCAAGCCCCATGCTGCATTGCAACAATACTGGGGAATTGCAGTGGTGCAATAGTGGTACAAATATTCCCAGTACAGACAAGCTGTTAGGCAGGCAAGCAGTACATAGCACATTGTAGAAAAATGACGAGAAGTATTTTTTTTTTTTTTTGGTCCAAGGATACAGCTTTAGATCCCTGCTGCTACAAGTAGTTCTGTGGAGTCTTAATGTTCATGCAGAAAAAATGGAAACTGTGCATTAGTCTAATCCCGAATACACCCACGCGTCCTCACTTGGTGCCAATCACCGAAGCTCCATTGAATTCCATGGAGATATGCCAATTTACACTAGCTGAGGAGAATCTGGCCCAGTAAAGCTTGGTATGATCTCTGAACTCTTTCAAGTAGCAAAACCCATCAATTGTTTTCTGCCTTTTGAAGATGGCAGTAACTTAATACTAGCATTATCCTTACAGAGGAAAGAAAGTATCAGAGGGGTAGCCATGTTAGTCTGGATCTATAAAAGCAGCAGAGAGTCCTGTGGCACTTTATAGACTAACAGATGTATTGGAGCATGAGCTTTCGCGGGTGAATACCCATTTCATCGGATGCATTATTCATGCATCCGATAAAGTAGGTATTCACCCACGAAAGCTTATGCTCCAATATGTCTGTTAGTCTATAAGATGCCACAGGACTCTTTGCTGCTTTTAGAGGAAAGAAAGGTTAAGTTGACCCTGCTGCCACTTGAACTTCTGATTTCAGGGGGTCAAAATATTTCAACTAAGCCATCTCCTCTGTGGCAGTAGTTTGGCATCGTGCAGGCAGGGAGATGAGAGAGTAGGGACGCTGGTAGAGCTTCAGTTTTAACAAAATATGCTTGATTATGCAGTCGGAAAGCAGAGAAATATTCACCCTCACAACAAACTGTTTGTGGAGAATGAGAGGGATAGCTGTTGTTATTTTTTTATGAATAGTACATTTACCTCAGTTTACGAGCTTGACATTTTCTGTCTGACTGCTGGAAGGTGGAATTAAAAGGGGCGGTTAAGAAGCAAGCCGGAAATGAACAATGGTCAGAGATGAGACCTCCCTAGGTAAACAATTTCAAGCGAGCTAGGGGAAGAATGGCTGTACTATTAATTGAGAAGTTGCTCTTTCCAGGCGCCAGACAAAAGTTACACAGCCATTTTGCCAAGACCAGAGACTAGAGATCAAAAAGATTGTCAGCAGTTAAAAGCACCTCTGAGAGAAAGGAAGAAGGGAGTTGCCACCAGCTACTGGAGGTGAGACACTGACAGAAAGACTCAGAGAGGCAGAGAATACAGCAGGGCAGTCAGATTGAAGCAGAGGCCATATGGGATGTGTCCAAGGCAGTTAAGTTTGCCTAAAGTTTGAGAGAAGTAATAAGGTATAGGCAAGACCCAGGCATGGAACTTTTGTGGTTTTTAACCCTTTTCTATGCTTGACATATACCTCTGAGTGTATAGACAGTACCTTTGTTTAGAAGGAGCTGTTCTGAGACCCTTTGATCAGCTGTTGATCACATGCACCCAGAGAGAAGTTACTTCAGGTGCCCGATTCATTTGGGTCTGTCATGTTAATGTGGCTGGAATTGGGGAGGCTGACATTCCAGGATCCTTTCTAAGAGTGATAGAACCATGGGGGACCCAGGGATGAAGGTAGCAAAACCTGTCACCTGAGCAATGCACTCATAAGGGATTGTAAAGGGGTATAAGGCACTGCTTGCCCTATAACCATGACAGCATGGTGGGAATAAAGGATGTAAATTATTTGTCCCTTAACTTCAGCAATTTACATAGCTGATAACCTGCCCCCCTTTCTTGAAAAATATTCAGATAAGAAAAAGTGACTTTTATGAATTATGTAATGCAAAATCTAGAAAAGTGTGAAAAGTCATGCTTCACCCATCACAAAATTTTTGTGAAGCTTATCACTTAATAATTTTTGCAAAACATTCCTGGGTCCTGGAATGTTAGCAATGGAAGGGCAAAGTTAGAATAGAGCTGTAGAAATGCAAAGTTTTATTATTAGTAGTATATGAATTATTACTGATACATTATATGTTCCATCTATATTTATTTTTGATTTCAGTGTACATAAAATTAAAAATATACCTAACCTAAAATGCTGACTATTATCAAATATGAAATTGCCATGCAAGTCTATCACTTCTTAATTTCCATGATTTCAGGAGCATTTAAAAGTACAGTAAACAGCCACAGTGTATAGTCTAGAAAATTTTTGTTTGGATTCTCTCTGCAATAGTGGGATTTTCTCCTGGCCAGGTAACCTGGCTTTAGAGGTGTGTTGTATCACACTGTCAGCACAAAGCAGCTGCATCACAGCACAGAATCTGGGCCCTGGGTCCAAATCGAAACTCTGGATGGGGCCCTGGAGAAGAGGTGGGCCCCATCCAGAGTTTCGATTTGTCCCATTACAAAGATAAATTTGGAGATGTTCAGATCCTGGATTTTGCTTTTGACCCCGTCTAATATAGAGTTCACGTATGCAGTGGGGAATGCAATAGTAGACTTCTGTAGAGGTCTAAAGCAGCTCAAACAATCATAGTCAACAATCCTTAATTAATATAACCACAACACTGAAGCAGAAATGTCTGTTTCAGCGGCTGAACCAAACAGTGATGAATATAACCCTGCATTCAGTGCATAGACAAAGAACATTATACCTGTAAAAACGTACTGCACACACACCCAGTGCTCAAATGGAGAGGAGGGTAGTAGTGGATATTCTATATCTTCTCTACTTGCTACTGCCCAGTAGAGCAAGAAAAGAGAAGAGACAATGGAGCATGCCATTGGTTACCTCCTCAACTTGAGCACCAAGGTCACTTTCAAAGGCTTGCCACGAGGGGTAATAAGAAGGAACCTCCATTCCTTTTCCAGAAAAGGAAAAGTTTTAAAGGCCAGAGGTGAATTCATTTAACAATCTGAACGACTTCTGCAGAGTATGCACAAGGCTTATTGTGCGCGTGATAATTTATATATTATAAATGAACTTACCTGCTGGTTATCCTTTGCAATGGGCATGACTGGCCACCTGCACTATTGAAGTTGCTATGCAGTGTGTCAGGTTAAAAGGCATTGAATGCTGCTTCCTTTTCCTATTGTGGAGAGGTTTCTGGTTTAGCTGGTGCACCCTTCCTATTAAACCTATAAAAGTAAAAGAAAACAGCAGCAGCACCTGCTGAAACCAATCGCTGTACTCAGGGAATGAATAGGAGCCGAGTCAAGCAAATGTGTATGCAAATAGTAGATATGAATGTCTCTGCATCAGTAAGGGGTAAATGACCATTAGAATCTGACATCTAAAAGGATCACACTTTAAATATTTATACATTTTCTAGGTGATGTGTTCAACTAAATGCACCAGAGTGGATGTGGAATAAATGTACAGTAACTTCCCACTTAACGTCCTCTTGTTTAACGTTGTTTCGATGTTATGTCCCTGCTCCATTACAGAACATGCTCATTTAAAGTTGTGCAAAGCTCCCCTATAACGTCGTTTGGCCGCCTGCTTTGTCCACAGCTGGCAGCCCTCCAGTGCCTCCCGCCCGCCGGCGGATCCCGCGGATCAGTGCCTTTCCCGTTCCCCCCGCCACCTGCCCACGGCAATCAGCTGTCTTGCAGCATTCAGGAGACTGGGGAGGAAGGGGGGAGGCTGCGCGCCGCATCCTCGCTCCTCCTCCCAGCCTCCTGAACGTCACAAACCCACTGATTGCCACGGGCAGGAGGCTGGGGGGAGGGAGGAGAAGCAAGGATGCAGCGTGCGGAGTAAACGAGGTGGCGGTGGAGCGGGTGGGGGAGAAGAGGCGGGTTAAGGGTGGGGGCTTAGTGGAAGGGGTGGAGTGGACAGGCCGAGGGTTGAGCCCCCCTACCCCCGGCAAAGTCGGTGCCTGTGCTTTCAAGAACAGCAAAAGGAGCAGCCAGACAATCCATCCTCTTCCACTCTCTGACTCCACCACCTCAACCAAGCTTCATACTCAGCAATGATGATTGTAGTATTAAATTGTTTCTTTAAAATAGTTTAAAATGTATACCTGTATTAAATTGCTTGTTTAAAAGAGATATAATGCCTTTTGTCTGGCAAAAAATTTGTTTTCCCTGGAACCTAACCTCCCCCCCCCCCATTTACATTAATTCTTATGGGGAAATTGGATTTGCTTAACATCATTTTGCTTAAAGTCACATTTTTCAGGAACACAACTACAACATTAAGTGAGGAGTTACTGTATCAGTGAAGCTAGTTAACTCTCTGAATGTCCTTGCCAAGAACCAAGTGCCCTACATGGGCCTCTCCTCAGCTGCAGAAACCCTGGTACACCCTCCCCAGGGCACAGATGCACAATCCAAGTCCTCTCTTAACTCTGATCCTTAGATTCCCAATCAAAACCTCTTCAAGCTGCAGAAACTCTCCTGAATCTCCCTGAAGATAAGTAACTTCAATAAGCAATGCATAGAGCTTCCCTACATAAATGCAATACTATGGCTGCTGTTAGTTTGCATTTCTTTTACCACCAACAGATTATATGTTGCACCACAATCCTTCCTTTCAGTGTCACAATGCTGCTGCCTCCTTAAGCAGCTTTCTGAATGGGGTTGTTGGATACCTAGGGCCAGATCCTCAGTTGGTGCAAATCAGCATAGCTCCATTGAGTTCCATGGAGTTATGCCAATTTACACTAGCTGAGAAGGATCTGGTCCAATAAAGCTTGGTGTGAACGTTGAACTCTTTCAGGTGGCTGTTTTCTATGACGCATCCCCTCAATTGTTTTCTGCCTTCTAAGATGGCATTAACTGCCATGGTTTGTACTTTTTTTGATTTGTTGGGCTTCAGGCCTTTCAGGGTTAAGATAATTTATGTCCTAAATACCCAGTCCTTGATACAGATCTTGCTATTTTCCTTAGGCTCTAAATTCACCTGTCTTGCCTCTGCCAGACTGGATTCCTTTCCTTTATTTGGGCGGGGCAAGAGGGAGTAATTTTGGAGAATGTATTCCCCTGTGTCACACCAGGTCACAAATTAATATGAAAGCAGGAAGACATCCACTGTCTGTCTGTCTGAGGAGAACAGCAGGTTTTGTTTCTCTCATGGGGGCCTGCATAAGTCTTCTGGATTGCTTTAAAATTTTGTGTGTGTGTATGTATGTGTGCGCACGCTTGTCTGTTTTCCTTCCTCTGACTATTTTGACTGTAATCATGTTTCTGTTAACGTTTAAATTCCCATATCCGGAATCGTGTTGAATTCCATTATGTCATAATAGAAAGTTATTTATTTTTTTCTCTGTTATAACTACAATAAAACTTGCTTTAAACAACCAACCAACCAAGGGATTAGTGGGGGGGGGGGAAAGGTCATTTATAGCTGTGCTCTAACAGCTTGTCTAGATAGCAAATTAGTACACAGCAAACTGGGGTGTAAACCTACAGGGCACTAGCATGCTGCTCACTAAAAGGTCCGTGTGCACTTTGTTCTACTCCCATTTCAAATGTAGAGTAGATCAAAGTGTACTAGAGCTCTCTTTAGTGCATGGTTCCAGGGTCTGTGTGGCTTGCTGTAAATTTACACCCTCGCTTGCTACGCACTAACTCACCATCTAGACAAGCCCTAAGAGCTGAACTAAATTGTGTTATGCAACTTTGAAGATACTGATTTTTTTTTCAAAAATGCCTAGAGATTTTGTGTTCTTCCACTTTGGGGGCCCGTTTGAGGCACTTAGAAGAAAGCTTTAACATGTCTCAACCTGGGCTCCCAAAAGTGGAGACAGGTGAAATCACTAGTCACTTGAAGAGCTTGGTTACTGTACATCATAGTAGTCACTTAAACTAGAGAGTTGCTTCTGAAAGGAATGTGCCCTTCAGCCCCAATGTACTCTCTGTCTAGGGGGAGTTGGGAGGGGATGGCATGTAGCTGAACACACCAGCTTCATGGTAGCTGAGGTTTCCCCTCATAATAGGGGAATCATCAGCTGAACTTTTAAGGAAAGTTTCAGTTCATTTTGCTGCACACAGAAGAGCATTTTGCAACAGCAGCAGGACCAAGGATTGGGTCTCCTATGTTGGAAGAAAAGCATGTTATACCCGTCATAGTTCTGATTGTGGCTTATGCTTTGCTGTGCTCACATATTGGCACAACAAACCTGCCAATGTAATAGATTATGAAACGTACATCCCTTTCCCTCCGATAACAATCATTAGAATCTTTAAACGAGGCATTCTAAAGTTTAATGCGTTTAGTTGAATTTCAGACATGATCTCTTGACAACAAAGTTCTCTTGCTGGAACTCCTTGAGCACTTCAGATGGAAACGGATGCATTTCTGCAATTGTAGATGGCACCCCACCTTGCAGAGTTTGTGTGGTCATGGCTTATGAAGATTGGCAGCAGACACTTGAAGGTGAAGCGATGCAACTCCCAATTTCCTTCTCTCTGGACATGGTTGAACATGAGCTGTAGGGCTATTTTTCCATGTACTGCTACCAAAACCTGAGGTTCACATGACCTTCACCTTTCCTGTTCACAAACGTGGAGGTGAGATTTCAAAATCTTTGTGAGGTATGAACTGAAGTGAGCTCACCATAAGAATGCGACTGGTCAGCTTTGATGATATCCTCTTTGAGCTCTTGATCATACGCTACTATAAAGTCCAAGAGTTGTAGAAGAAGTGGGCTCCACAGTGCTTGAAATGTCAGTTTGTGGATCCACATCACCCTGGCATATGATTGGCCATTCATATCTTGTTCTGTTGGGTTTGGTCCACGAGCTCCACTTTCAGTACAGGCAACTGCTAGCCCTGAAACCTGTGTGTGCTGGCCTATACATTTCTGAAAGTTCATTGAGATATGGAGCCTTATTATGGAATAAGCCACTCCCTCTACTGTGATGTGGCCCCTTTTAGTTTCATCAGAGCTTCACTAATATTAGAACCACATATTTCTGCCCAAGCACATATTTCTGCCCAAGCAAGAGTATTGAGGGTGTACAGCTCGTGGGCAGGGGTTTGAATGATTGGCAAGTATCCAATGGTAGTTATTTCTGGTTCTGTTGTCACGTGCAATTGGTTGAAATGTGGCCATCCACATTTTGGGTTCTCATTTTGATGTTTAACGATAAAGGCCATATTAGAAACTCTTGCCTGCACTGCAGCTTCGCAGTTTTCTTCAGATTCAGAGTTCCACTCTCTGCAAACCCAGTCCTTGAATACTGGTTCTGCTCTATTATTTCTTACATTGGCTGGTATGATTGTGTCAATTGCACCAGGAATGCTGTGTGCTGCTGTTTGTTGTCTTTTTAGATCATTCAGCATCAGATCAGAGGCAGATCCTCTTTGCCAAGCAGCGATCTGGGTTTCATGGAATGGGCATTTGCCATCCAGAGACTCCTCATGTATGTCAATATTGTCAGCTGGGAGTCAGGTTGGGAGGCATAACAGCACCATTTTTAGCATCCGTAGTTTGTAGGGTTTTCTCTGCTAGGGCTGTCCCCACCTTTAGGATTCCCTCACAACTAATGCAATGGCCACCCTTATGGAAAGTTAAAAGTTAAACAAGTAGTTTTGACTTTGTTGGCTAATGGAAGGTGCACTCAAGACCAATATCCTTTGATGGCCATTCCTTTGCACCGCTCACACCATATATATTGTCTTGAGCCATACTAAACACACTGAATTTCACGGATTCTCGTTTCTCAAAGTTCTCTTCATCACATTGTCCTCAAGAAGAGACTACCCTTCATACAGCAGGTGGAGGAACGTGCAGGGCTTAATTTGTAATGAAAGAGGTGCTGGGGCTCAAGCAATTATTTTACATTTATAACTGATGCAGCAAGCCCAGACATGCCAGGGCTATGAACCGCCAAGCTTTGAGGTACTGGGGCTCAGGCCTGGCATACATTAAGCAGTGGGAACATGTACATGCTATTTGGAATGCAAGCAGCTACATTATCCTCATGGACACTGAAAGCTCTGTAGCAGAGTATCTGCCTGAATTTTCAATGCAAACATGTACCCGTGACAGAAATATATGTCTTCCTGGAGGTGGTAAATGGGGACGGCCATCTCCTCATCTTGGCGAGAATCTGTTATTTGTGAGATAGGTACATATTTATACTTGGCTAGAACTAAGAGTGTTTATCTCTCCGCAGGAGACCCATCC